ACAAAATATATATATATATATATATATATATATATATATATATATATAATTAAATCTTTTTGACACCCTACTCTGGTGTCCCTACATTGGCCAATATTTGATGGAAAGTTTAAAAATAAGTTAAAAGACGAAACTGTCCATTCGATAAGTTAGAAATGGTAAAGAAGTAGGGGATTATAAATAAGAAATATTAAACAAATGCCGTAAGGACGGCAGCACTTTTGAGGCGCCGGAATCGACAACGGATAACGTCTTAACTGTCATTGATCTAATTTTTTTACTTAAAATGGTGATTAACCCCACTTTAAATCAGATCATCTCGGGCTGTTTATAAGTGCAGAAATGAGGCATAAAGCACGTTTAAATCAACTCTGAACGTCTAATGAAATAAGCACACAGCGTACTTATTCTCAAGTGACAATTAACCGATTCCATTTATTCAAAGTCAATTTCCATCATGCTTAGCAGTGTCGCATTGGCTGCCTGTGGTAGCAACGTCTTCAATTGTGCGAACAGCCTGATGTATGAGCTTTTGAATATCCACTGATTGACCGCGTGGTAAACAGAAGTTAATTGATTTCTTCTTACAACCCCATTCTTGGCCTTCAATGATCGCCTTCAATGTTTCCTTGATTTCATCAGAAATGAGAGTTGAGAAGTCGTGCACGATGTTGAAGGATATTTCCAGACCCGGGAGTCCGTTGTCGTCGGTCGTTTCGACGTACTGGACGTTGTCCACTGGGATTACTATTTCTCTCGGATCTGGAACATCAGAGGAACGACGTTGGCCGTAGAACTTTAGTGAGGCCACAACATTATCATCGTCATTATGTGAAGTGCTCGCTTCATGCGACATCGGCGCGGATCTTCAAAAACAAAGGTTGTCGAATCACGCAGACCCTTGGGAAGTATAAGCAGGCGGTTTCTGGCAAATGAAGAATTTGCGTTTCAATGGTAATGCCGATCCGCCAACCTCAAGGAATTGTCACGTGGATCAGGTCGATATACTAAATGACCTTTAGTTGAAGGTCACGTGTGTGGCCTTGCCGCTGGAACGTGATTGGCTCATTGAAGGAAAGTCTGCCTTTTTCTGGAATTGATTCCAGAAACGATTTATATAATTGCTCAGGTTAATTATGACTCATCTACCATTTAGCTATGAGCTGGTTCGACTACATAAGTTATCACGGATGGCTCATCGTGACTTGAAGGCTATAATTAAAATGCTCCAATATGGATTACTTGGCCAGAGCCTATGGCCCAATGAATTAGTTAGCTTTCAGTGATTTTAGTTTCGACCCTAAACGCATCACCCTAATTTCACACCAAACAAAATTTTGAAGCCTGTAAATACAGTAAGTCAAAATTTGTCAAAACGCGATCTATCATTGACTAATTGACGCCATATTTTGATTTGGAAATCCCACTGCAGCAGAAATGATAAGGGTACCAAGTGGTAATGAAACTCCGCCAAATTTGGGCATTTATTAAAACAAAATGCTCAGTGATATCAAACATTCTCACTGCCGGTCATTTTCTTCAAAAGGGTATTCGGGATGTCCTCTCATGCTAGGATAAAGAATAACATACTACTTATTATTATAAAGTCAACATTTCATGTGAAAAGTCATGGGCGTGACCAAAGAAATGGCGATTATTATCAACTGGCAGACAGTACTTAAAACAGAAAGCGAATTTGAGAAATTCAGATTACCGAATTTATTTAAGTAGCAAGATAAGAAACACAAAACTTACGCAGCTCCCTTCAAAATCCGCTCGCCTGTGCCAAGTAAAGCGAGGCGATCCATGTCGTCCGAACTCAATTCAAAGTCAAACACCTTTTCAAAAAATTACAACACCACCTCAACTTTAAGGTAATTCTTTGTGTGCAGAACGCAGTTGTAAAGAAAAGCGAATACCTGAAAATTTTCGGCAAGTCGTAAAGGCGTTTTGCTTCTAAATAGAACACACAGACCACGCTGGAGTCCATGCCTGAGAGCCACTTGAGCAGTCGTTCTGCCGTACTTATTGGCAATTTCACGGATTTCTTGCGACTCTAACAGCGGCCTTTTAGTGAGTTTACTGAAAAAAGAATATTAGCTATCTACTGACAATTTATTAGTAGATTTGTTATTAACTAATTTTAAAAGGTCGATGAAATTGCACATTTCAGGAAAAACTCACGAATGAAAGTAAGGACAGCCAAGAACAAAGTAGCCAGTGACAACAATGCCATTTGTTTGGGCAAAATCGATTAGCGATTGATTCGGAAAACTGATATTGCTTTCAATCTGCAGTACCGACGGTCGAATCGCGCTGTTAGTAAGTATCCGCTCAATTTGGCGAACATTAAAATTCGATAATCCAAGGTATCGACATAGTCCACCTGTCACTAAGTTTTCCATTGCCTAAGTTAAAATAAGTTGTGAAAATCGGCAAAGAAACACACAGGACTCAAAAGTCCACAATCTAATTGCACACATCTGTTTCTACTTAAATATTGCAAGTAGTAGGAGTAGTAAAGAATGTCCTACCCTCCAAGTGTCCAACATGTCAACATCGTCAAATAGCGTTTGGTTGTGACCATCCTTGGGTACCATAACATCAGAAGGCTACGAAAAGAGCGCATTGACTTTATTGGATAAAAAATATGACTTGCAAATGCTACTATTTATTATACAGTAGTACATACCTGATAAGGAACAGGCCAGTGAATGAGATATAGATCCAGGTAGTCGACTTGAAGTCGCTGAACAGAGGTCGCACAGGCCTGTTTTACGAGACTGGGACGGTGGAACGTGTTCCATAGCTACGAGAAGAATCGAGTTCTTCCATCTCCTCAACAAAAAATACCGTACCTTGGAGGTGATGAATAGATCGCACCGCCTGACGCGTCCGGACTCGATCCAGGCGTGGAAAACTCGACCTAACTCCTCCTCGTTGTTGTAGAGGTGAGCGCAATCGAAATGCCGGTAGCCGATTTCCAGGGCGGCGTTCAGCGCCACACCACCATCATCGCCTCTTAACTAAAACAGGTGACATTTAGATTGGTCCGTGTGGGGCATTTTGATTGGTCCGCATGGCGCATTCTGATTGGTTAAACATGTGGATTTTTCACGGCGCCTTCTTAAAGTGCACACTTAGTGTTCTTAATCCAAATATTCCTTAAAGGAAGTATTAGAGAGAAATCAGCACAGTATTATAACTCCCGCCAGATTTAGCTCAAAATGCTCAAACAGCGCTCATTGGCTACAAATCTGGCTACTGATTTTTGTTGCACCCAATCCCGTTTTTGTTAAAACACAATGTTTCACAACAAAGCGTTAATCAATTGATCCGTTGCACACGAAAACAATCAATTTATCGAAATGAATTTAATTGGTTGATGGAACAGGGAATAACCCCGATTCATCCAATCCTTGGTGACAATTTGGCCGACGATTAATGAAATGTGAGGTTGGATTAGCGAAAATTGTCATAAGCGTACCTTAAAAGTGCCCAAGCCCAAACAGGGAATGCGCATTCCATTCTCAGCCGTCAAATAAGGAATGCTTGTCGACGTCTAAAAGGAAGCAGAAGTGGGTTTTGTTGACAAACGCGTCTCCAATAAAGGCTACCAAATCAGACAGCAGTCACCTGAATGATGCAACTAAGACCTAGGTGGGATTTTTTTCGATTTTGCGTTGATGCACACGATTTAGTATATTTATACTGACCGTTCTCATCCTATTGGCCCTCGCCCCCAAGGTCGCCGTGTTAACACACAATGCACCAGATAGGCAGTAGTTTAACATGTCTTCTACCCGAGAAACGTAAACAAAAAAATCGGCTTTCTTCAAAAGACAAACCTAGGATTAAAAACTCGATCTTTCTCAAGATCACATCTCTCGTTTTTGGGTTGACACCAAACAACAGACAAAGTAAACGTCGGTGATGTGCTAAACTAATATTTAATGGTTTATCTTTAATACAAAAAATTTACTGGCTAATTCAAACCACAACAATGCGGGCTGTTGCCTGTTCAGTCAAAGTTTGAACAAAACAGCAAAGCACACTTGGGTGACCTTGATAGCATTAAGGACGGGCCAATAGGGTGGAGGCAGTAGACAGGAAATTTAAAATGGTGTGCTTTGACACAAAATCAATGAAAACACTAAAATTGTCGAATTAACGAAAAGCGGAGTAATGAGAAGTACCGAGGCCTTCTACATCGATCGGAATTTGTGCGGGTTGATACATGCTAGATCCACAGCAAATGTCAAGGTCACTCGATCTCTTTGTGCGTAAACAAATGCCGTGTAGATGTTTTTTGAAGAAAGCCATCAACGTACACACGACATTTTGCCATATCTTGAAACTTACACAATTAAACTACGAACTTGTGGGTTCATTGAGAATTTCCGAAATTGGATTTTTTGGTAAAATGGTAAAAATCTGTCCAAATACCTGATTTCGCCACAAACGAACACGGAAGGAACTATAATGTGCACGAGAAATGGTTTAACGTCTGCTACCGATACTTAAAATGATTGCCACATCACCCGGAGACAGTAATTTTGATATTAGAAATACTGGCTTCATTTGAGCTCACAGCACAAACGAACACAGCTAGCACTTAGAAATGAGAATTAAGCCAAGTAAGCAAAGAACTTGCCACTTTGATAAACGAAGCTAAATGTTTATGAGGCCGTGAAAGTTAAAGCAATAAGTCGTTTGTCCAGCTCAAGAAGTTGGGTGAAAATTCAATTACGACCAGGCGTTCTGTTATATTTTGAAAGCAGTGACCTTGAAACCAAGGTTGCGTAAGTAGCCAATAAAAAGGAAAGGAAACGGTGATTGGGCAAAAGTGGTTTATTAAGAACCTATTTACATGAAACGAAAACAGAGTTGAGAAAGGGGGGAAAATCAATTAAAAGCACAATTCATCCGTAAATCAGGAAGTTTACAGCACCCTCCACCGACCAATCAGCCTTCTCCAGCGCCGACCAGCACAATTCAAGATCGGTGCACAGCTGCAGACGCACCAATCGGCGCAACAGAAGCAGACGAACAGCAACCTTGACGCGCCAATCACGCGCGCCGGGTGCCATTACGTCGGCCAATGGCGGCGGGGAGTGGAGGTGGATGATGCTGCGAGCTCGTGGAGAGTTGATGGCACAGTTGAGGGCGTCTCGCGCCTCTGTCAGACTGCAGCCGCCTGGAAGTCGCTTGGCAACCAGATCCACCTTCAGGACGAAGGAAAGGCCGGTTAACACAAAAATGAATAAAAAAAAGGAAGTGCGAATTTTTACCAATAAGCGCCCAACACCCACCTCAACCGGATCGAATGCAGTGCTAACGGGGAACGTCCATAGGGAGTCAGGAGAAGCTGTGCATGGATCGCGTTCCGATGAAACCGGAAGGGAAAGGGAGACAGAAGTGGGAGACGATTTTCCAGATTCGCCTTCTGAGGAAACGAAATTGGCGGGGTTTGGCGGACAATCTAAACCAGATGCAATGCAATCACTGATAGGCGATGCACGACTGCAGCTTCAACGACCCAATCAAGCGCCACTTCGTCAGCCAATAGCCTCCAGCCGACATGAAAATTTAGTACCAATGAGATTCTGAATTCCTCAGGATACATTTTCAGCGTGAAATCGAGATTGCTACATGGCTTCCTCATGCCTTCTCTCTAATAAATCACACGACTGATCCGGCTGCAAAACCTCAACCACAATTTCCATCGGTGTAAATCTTTCTTAATTTGCAGGGTCAAGGTCATTCAGGGCATGTGAAAGCTGGTTATTCTGACATGAAGGTGACAGCAGTTGCACTAGCAGTTGGGTGGCGGAACGAGTGAGATGGACTTGTGTGCTAACGACTTCATCAAACGAGAATCAACTCACTCGAGAATGACGAGGAACGCGATGTTGTGGTCTACAAGGACAAGGAAAGGTTTAGTGAGACAAGCGTGACGAGTAAAGCGTTAAAATGTGCGCCAACTCAAGAAAAAGAAACGGGAATTGCGTGAGGGGGCAGAGGAGGGGCAAACTACCCACACCAGATCAAGCGAACAAACGGAAATCAGTGCGCAAAAGGTCAATTTTGGCACAGTGCCTGAACACAAAGAGTACACTGGCTGATTCAATAACGGATGCTACGATTTGGCTTGTAAACTTCTCTACTAGCGATTTATTAAAGATCGCAGCAGATTGAATTGGCGCGGTCGAGAATCCAATTAAATTGCAGCCTTGATGAAACGAATCAGCGCTGGTCAAAAAAAGTGGACCTTGACAGAAGACTACTACGACTAGGATTGGTTGGACAACGATCGAGAAATAAACAGTCGTGATTTGCCTCACACGTCGGTGTTGACGCCTAGAAAGTGGTTGAAATGCGGTTGCCTCGCTTTGCAGCACCGATGTTTACAAAACTCGATGAATGCCACAATTTCCGCCCAATGAAGACAACGATGGTGGATGTTGTTAACGGCATTCTGTGTACTTTTAGAATATGTTAAAAGTACCCTGCAAAAACCTAGGGCCACCGTGTGGACTAGAAGGTCCACGTCAGATGTTAGGTGCTGAAACAGGTTTCGACAGGTTCACAGGGCCACACGAGAGATGGTCAGTCGACCAAGGTTCTATAAGCGGTTTTCCACGCGTTGCACCAACAACAAGGTCGAAACCAACGTCATCTGTCATACAATGTGGTGGGACATTGCAGTTCTCTACGAAGGCGTCCTGAATTGCAATTCGGTTCTGTGTGCGGTTTGAAACGGGGGACCTCACAGCGCAACCAGAACCTAGCACATTCACCAGATGTTGCGTCAGCAGGGAGAGCTTGAGTATTTCCCGGGGGGATTGAAGATGTGTTCTTCGCGATGCAAAACGGTACCAGTTTCGTAGCAAGGAATGTCGCGAGAAGTATTTAGCAAAATTCGCACAAAGAATACACCAGTTTGTCAAACTTGTCACGACATCTACGGGTACAGAAATGGTAAGCTGAAACGGCGCAACTTTGCGATATTCAGCGCCCATCACTACAACCAAGTACACTGCACAATGAGGTGGGGCGACCCAGGCTTCTGATTGGCTGGTGGCAAGAGGGCTCGTCAACTCGGACTATCCTCCGACTCCAGGAACTTGGCGCAATCTCGGTGAATAGACGTAGGAAATTTAAACCAGCTTAGTTTTGTGGAATTCGGTGGGCTTAAGTACAGCCGAGCACGCAACAGGGTGCGGTAAAGCGACCCAGGCTTCTGATTGGCTGGTGGCAAGAGGGCTCGTCAACTCGGATCATCCACCGACTTTTGGAACTTGGTGCGATCTTGGTGAGCAGACATGGGAAATTTAAATCAGATTAGTCTGGTGGAATTCGGTGCGCATAATTACAGCCAACCACGCAGTAGAGTGGGGTGAAGCGACCTAGGCTTCTGATTGGCTGGCGGTGAGAGGTGAATCAACAGCAGAGGTTAGCGAGCAAACGATAGAGTTAAAGACAAGGGAAGGGGAAAATTAGACCGGTACCAGAACTCCGAGGCGCTGAGAATTTGAATCACGTTATAAATTCTGTCGTGCTTTAACAACCTCGACTGAGCGAGATATCCTACAAGCAAAAGAAATTCGTTGAAACAGAGGGTTTGCTGATTTGCAGAAAAGGCACAAAGTTACTACCGCATTTTCTACGGTCGAGATTAGCCCAAAAAGATGCTGGCAGTTGGAAGCCCTGACTCTGTGCTCAATCATCACCCTGACAATTTTCAGCGGAGTCAGATACACACGCAGACGTCTCGCCGCACAGACGACCTGATGATTAGTTAAAACCTCAGAGACGGTGGATGCTATGCGATTTAGACCACGGGCGAGCAGGAAGCGATTAGTAGGTCAAGAATTAACGATGCGTATTTGTCTACGTAAGGTGTCATTTGAGGAGAGAGAGATCAGCTAGAGGTGAAAGACTCACGTGCTGAGGGAGATCTGATGTCCGGGGTTGCAAAAAGGGATTTGAAGATGACGCAGCGGCTGAAAGGGAAGAAGGGAAGGTACTACAACCCCAACCAACCTCAGCTCAACCACACCGACCAATGAGAATCAAGCTGGGTCGGGCATGCGGTACCTCCAACAAGAAGTTCCTGTTCGCGCTGCTGCACAGGTCTAGACGACGCTGACGACGACGACGTGGAGATAGTTTGTGCGTCGAAGAGCACTCGGATACGATCGATGTCAGCGGCACGGTGGGGTACCGGAGGAGGGTCGCAGGAGACTGGAGGGTTCGGAGGGGGATTGCGAGGTACGGCGCCATCGCCGCTGCGCATCCAGCAGTTCCAGGCGGCCTGGAAGTAGGGGCTGGTGGGAGGCCGCTGAGGCGGGGGTGGCGGTGGCGGCGGCGCGAATTGGTAAATGGGCGCCGACGGTGTCTGTGGAGGGCAAATGCAGGGTGTTGACTTTTGGCGACAATGACAACAGAAGAGACTTCATTGGCTGGATTTGTGTCTTAGAGGTTGCTACGGGGCGCACCCAGCACGCTAACAGTGCCCTCTCTCTAACCCTGTTACTCAATTCAAGGTCACGTACACAAAGTATTTTAACAAAGGCAAATTTTAATTGATTCAACAAACACGCGTACGATGCGAAGCCCACGTAGAATTCTACGGAAAATGTGTTTCTGGGTAATACACCTGCTGCGGACTGCGGTAATCAAGCGTACGATATTAGTGAAAACCGTAACCAATGCAATGCAAACAGCCCGATCAACTAATCGTGTCCAAAATATCAATCATGTGTCAAAATTGCAATTCTCACTAGACCCCATTGTTAAGGGCAACGCTAATGCAACCGCTGTTATTTGACGAGATTAGTGCTGTAATGCTTTCAGGACATTGGTCACTTCAAGGTCACAGGACCGATTGACCAATAGCAATTTAGGGGACAGCATTTCTAGCGGCTAATTATTTTACGTATATAATTTTAAGGAAAAATCTCATGAATATCTTCTTAATGATGTACTTAAGCCTAACGAGACGATTTTAAAGGCAATGATACATCGGAAGTAGGCAAGTGGCTGCTACATGAATTAAGACAAGCAGAATAGCGTATGCAAATGTGCTTGGTGAGGTGATGTGTGTGCGATTGGGAATTCGACATTCTACAAGAACCACCCAGCTGGTCTTCTTGTGCTTTCGACACCACTCGGTTTTGCGTTTAATCTTTGGGAAATGCGTGCGACCTACGCACAAGACGGGCTTGTCGAATGCGCAGCCCACTCAACGATGGAGCGCAAAGTCGCGTGGGGGCGAGTCCGAAAGGATGGGGAAAAAAAAGGAAGTCAGCAGTTAGCAGCGAGCACGCGACGTCGCGATATAACCAAGACCTGTCTCATTCAAAGACGACAACTTAATATTGCTTTCTTTACCAACATCATGGAAGCTGACGGTAGTGTTTGCAATTTTTCCCAAACAATTCACGTCGAGCCATTCCACTGCAAACCTACAGAACAGGCACATGATTGCCATCGTGGACACTGACAGCTGGATCCAGTTGCGGTTGTCAGTCTACGACCAGCTTCACAATTCCAGACAAGGGCGGATTCTGAGGAGGGTTCTACGTTTTAAAGGCATCTGACTGTGAAAAATACGTAATAAAGCTCAAATACATACAAATAATCCCTGTAACGGATGAAACAATTGGCATTGTTTGGGCCGAATTGAATAAATCAGTGGCAGCAAATGAATTGGCCAGCACGCAGTTCCAACCAATCAACGCTCACCGGACACCTAGTAGTCCCATCCGCGGAGTGATGGAAATCGATAAGGGAAAACGGGTCGGTGTCAGGGGCGCCGGAGGCAGTGAAGGAGTTGGAGACGCGATGGGAAACACTTGAAGCCGTCGGCGTGGCGTCTTCCCCCTTCGATCTGGAGGCGGATGCAGACGTGGAGGCAATGGTTGCTGGGGTGCTGTTGCCCAGTGAGTAGTACTCACTGCGGAGAGACGATTCCAAGCCTGAACGGGAAATGCGGAGCGAAAGAAATTGAAGAAATTAACTCAGTGTCCCAGGTGAAAGTACTTATCTCAGAGAGCGATCTTCACACTTGGTAAGTCGAAACACTTGGTAGGCGAAACACTTAACGTGTTTTCGCACATTTGCATTCGGTCTGTTTGATAGGATCTAGCCCTTTTCAAAGTGGTCTAAGCATGCTTGATAGCAGACTACACACTTTGATTTACGTATTGGAGTGTTATATTAAATCTAATTGAAATTTAAAAGAGGGTTCTCTAGAGTTCGCGGGAATTTCTGCATGATTTTCAATTAAAAGTGGCCTCTTTGAAATTTTTGAAAAAAAGCTTGTTTTAATGCATCAATTTCGGGTTATACGGTGGTTTAGTGAGTGAAGCAAATGACAATGATTGTTTTGTAAGACGCAGCAACGAATCACACTTTTTTGTGCTGCGATGCATCAGTGGACAAAACCATGTTTCTGAAACTATCACGAACGGCCTAAAAACCGCATCTCTTAGTGAGTGGTGAGGCGAATTCGTTTCAGTAATGAATTGACAACACGCAAAACCAATTTACCCAGGCGCGTGGACTAATTAGGACAGGCACTGTGCACTGATTGGTCCAGTCAAGGTCATGTCATCGGGAACCCAAAACCACACAACGAGGCTAAAGTGGGCAGAAAATGACACGAGGAGACGGATGAACGATGAGGTTATGCTAGCGAGGACACATCTACATTGGAAGCGAGAAAGATGTGGAAGAGACCAGGGATCTAGGATTTACCGACCTTGAAGTCGATCCGAAGCAAAACAAGAAACAAAAAACACAATTTTTGATATTTAAAGACCACGTTTATTGTGTAAATTTGTTCTCCGGTCAAGCATTGAAAGGTGTCGCCCCAAAAAATCCTCATTTCACGAAAATAAAGATGGAAGACGATCAGAACTAGCGACTATTTTTCCAAATTTCTTCTAGGTTTCAAACCGAGCAGCAAGAGACGAGAATTCAAATGTTGCAACAATGATCGTGAAGTCGGTTCACCATGGCCAGCTAGCTTCAGAAGCACTTTTGTTGCTATGGCATCGCAAAAAGTGCCGTCGATAATAATTGCGCGCGAGGCAAGATGGCGAGGTGGTAATTTAGACAAAACAATGAAAAAAAAATAAGCTGGTTTGGTGCATAATCAGAGTGAGTTGTGCCCTGGTTAGCGTACAGCGGTGGTAAATTTAGCACCCATGTCAAGTTGGAATAAACAAAAAGAACGGTTTTCAGCCAATCAGAGTTGAGGAGCCGATGGAAATGAGAGAGAGAGACAGAAGCGAAGTAAGCAACGGCTATCTGAGAAATAAATACGCAGTTTAATTAAACCGAAGCTCACCTTTCGACAAATTCGACGGTAACGGAGGTGGTGGAAGCTGTTGCCTAGCAATAGTTCCCGACGTTGATGCATCCAGCAGACGTCGTTCGTCTTCCTCCGCTTCATCGTAGTTCCCGACCTGCGGATCGTCGGGCAATGAGGAGGAATTCTCGTCGCCGAAACAGCCACCCGCCGCAGGCAAACCACCTGCGGACATGTTGCGAAGCGGTTTCCACGACGACGACGATGAAATGGAGAAATTGGAAGCCTGTTGGACGTAGGTTTGACCCAGCGTGTCAGCGTGGTGCGGCGTTATGCCTGATAGGAAAACCCTAAGAAACCATAAAGCACAATTGGTCCAGTCAGTTCAAATGTTGGCAAGTGAGCGGAAAGAAGCCGAAGACAACTCACGGGTCAACGCGATCAACGTGGCCCCAATCTCGCCCCTCGAAGCCATGATGACCAGCATGGACGAAGGAGTTTTGCATCGGTCTGCTGATGTCTTGAGCTGCACAAAATTAGGAAAATAAAAGCGTAACGAAGGGCCCGCCGCACGTGTGCGTGAACGCCGAGAACGCGCACTCACAGGAGAGATTTCGCTGAAGTCGGACGATTTCCCGGGGGAAGGAGGCGATTTCGCCTGTTCGACGATTCTGCCCGCGCCACCAAAAGTTCTCCGCCTGTCCGTCGATCACGACAATCCGGTCGCCCGCGACGACGTCCATGCGATCGGCTTCGTCGAAGTTCTGTGTCGCCACCACCTCACCTGGTCGAATCTAGGAGAGAGAAATAGGTCTGGTTAGGACAATTGGTCCGCGTTGATTCCAGACTTGTCATTATCACTCGCCTTATCCAATCGTTCAGCCAGGTACTCGAATGAAGGTCTACTGGGGGCATCTGAACGCCAACAGGCCAGCATCAATTGGTAGAGCTTTCGAGGGCACGTTAGTCGCGGCCAGGCCAATCGACGCTGGGAGTTGAGTTCGGCGAGGACAGCGTCGGAGGAGAGACCAGCCCAGGGCTCCCCGCCCCCAGTCCAAATCTCCCACAGCGTCACGCCCCAGCTCCACACATCCGAGGCCTGGGAGAATCGGCGGCCGCGGATGGCCTCTGGCGGGGACCTGGAAAACACACACACTGACACATCTTGCCAAACAACTGCTGCCTGAGTTGTGTGACTGCACGCTAAAGGTGTTGGTACTGCTTACCAAGCAAAGGGGATACGCTGTTTGCCATGGCCGACGTACACAAACGCGGAGGGGTCTTCGCCGGAGTCGCAAGCGACACGTCGCAGGAGGCCGAAGTCGCCGATCTTCACGGTGACGGCCTTCCCGTAGCCAGAGAAGAGGAGGACGTTGCGCGCAGCGAGATCCCGATGAACGAGGTAGCGCGAGGCCAGATGGGACATCCCGCGCGCCAGCTGGATGCCCATGTCCCAAAGGAGGTCCACACTAAACGCCGTCGGTGTACAGATTTCATTGAAGGAATCCTTTTTACTAAGCATTAGTCGGTGACTATGAGAGCGCAGGGTTGCGAGTAGGCTGCCTTGTGGCGCTAGTTCCGTGACCTGCAGGGAATGGGTGGTTAAGTCTGTAGTTTCATAGTCTATCAAGACTCAGTAAAGGTGCTTGAGAAAGCAACTTACGATGACGAGCGGGTTAAGTGGGATGATTCCGTAGATTCGGACAAGGTTCGGGTGTGAAACTGACTGCATAAGCATGACCTCTGACAGGACACTTGAGAAGAAGTCAATGTCCTTTGTCTTGCTGCGCCGCAGAATCTTCAAAGCTACGGGAAGCTGGAATAGAAAACAAGACAAGCAATGGGATTTGAGTATGCACACCACTTCAAATTTCATTAGGATTAGAAAGGACGCCCTGCATTTATACATCAAATGTAGCTAGCAAACTAGGATGGTTATTCACACCAAAGAATAACTACCGTTTTGCCAGCTGGCGTCCGCCAGTCAGCACGCCTAACCACGCCAAAAGACCCTGAACCAAGGCGTCCGTCGTCTTTTTCGTGAAGAGTGATGTCATCTGGACGGATAAGTTGACAGGCGATAAGGTCGTCTAAGGTGGAAGATTGCAAGCCTCCATAATCAGATTGGCGACGACGATGTAGAGCCTGAGGTGACGACACAGAATCGCTTAGAGCTGTCAAAATAGGAACATCGCGAGGAGGCCCATATCGCAACTGGGGACAGAGAAAAGCGCTTTAATTAGAACACAAAGCAGCGGAAGTTGCAGAAGAGTTAGAAGGTACGTCAACGCACCAGATCGAAAAAAGGAATCCCAAAGGAAAGCCTGTAGTGGTGTCGCCTTCGTCGATTTTTTGGCAAACCAGCATTTTCACGACAAACGTTTAGTGCTTCCTTAACTCTGCCTATGGCAGGACCGCTAAGACCAATTCTTTGAAGATCAGAAGTTCGGACATAGTCAAAATGCTGTAATCTAAGAAGAAACACGAACACGTTAATACTAAGCAGGAGACTGAAATCCATGTAGAATAATCACCTACGTGTAAGACACAACAAGAGAGTACCGAAAATAATGACAAACAAAAAGTGAGAGTAAAGGTGTAGTGAGAAACGAAAGCAGCGCTATTACACAAGTAAAGAAGGCGAAGAATTACGCAACAGGTGGAAATTCAATCGAAATTTAGGCATAATGAGGCAAAATAGAGACCGCTGACTACTTATGATGAGAGGACGTGTTACGTTGCACACGATATCAGTTATCTATAAAATTACACACATTTAAAAAACGATTACATTAAATAATTTTCACGATACAATACCTAGAAAAAGAACACTGACATGATAGTTTGGTCAAAGTAACACGTAAAACAAGCAACATGGTAAATTCGTATGTTTTATATTTGAATACTGATGGTTATTCAACGTGAGAGCCTAGTATTTGTCATAAATTACCTGCACGAACATTACCACGCACAAAAAAATATTCTCCAAATTAAGTTCAAAAACGTGATTTAAAAATATCCAGGACTTAAGTTTCTGAATGGGGAGGGCTTCACATTGTTCGTGTACTAGTTGCATTAAATAAAAAAAAACAACGAGACTAAAAAGGCTTGACACATCAAGAATTGACAATTTCCTTGAGAAATAATTGCGACCTTACTGTGTCACTTGAAGGACGTCTCTGAACACTTCATAAAAATCGGGCAATTGAACGTGATCCAAAAAACTCCGAAGCCAATCGGACGACGACATTCCCAGTTAGATCCATTGAAACCGTTGAAGAATCAGACTATTGTAGTGATCAATTTAAACAGTGGCACACTGCCATTTTTTGTAAATAGATGGGTATCTAAATTTGTCTATTTTTTTACATCACACATGTCGTTATGATCACAAACATTGTGGTATCTTTAATTTAAATCACAGTTTTAGTAAAATTAAGAATGATAAGTCGCAAACATCGAAATGGAAATAGGTTTTAAGAAGATATGGCACAGCAGACTACAGAATTAGTAGAAAGTTTAGTATTCATAAACATCATTTAAAAATTCTGGTACATACCATGTTTTGAAATTGGTCTTCAAACTGTGCATAAATCCCCAAATGTGTCTCAAATTAAATTGACTGTGATGTAAACAAAATCTCTCTAGTTGCATTAGTGACTGCAGAATCTGCTTGTTTACCTTCTTCAGCAAGATTGGTGTAGAAATTAAGTAAATAAATAGTTGAATTTCCAAATTTCCAGTTAAATTATATCCATTACTATTTTCATAATTTTGAACATGTTTGTGATGAATGATAATTAACTTTGACCAGAACATTTATTTTGAAATTTAACTACTTCAAAATGAAAATTGGCGTTTTGTATCCAGTGGCAATTCATGCTACCACGGTTGTTTTATAAAAATTGGTCTCTGAATTCTCTTAACAAGTTTAGCTGATTGACGAAATTCAAATAAATACCTTAGGCCTAGTGGCAGTTAATTTATGAATCATAAACAATTTTTTTAAAAGAGATATCGCAATTTATGCAGAGTTAAGGTTACACAATCTGTGCATCACTTTAACAACTAACAATGCAAAATGCAAATATCTGCCAGGTAAATCCGAGTTAGTTCCCATTACTAAAGTTTGTGGATTAAACCAATGCATATGAAAGAAACCAGCCATAAAATCGTCTGCATTCTTTTCTGGTGGTGCACATTTAAATGGACTAAAACACCTTGAACTTTTGTGATTTGCCACATATACATCAGTTAAAGAGAGTTATTTTCATGTGCTTATGCACGGGCAGTGTGAAACTCGACAATATAGCCACTAAAAATCGTAAATATATTAGTAATTTGAACCACAACGCGTCAACGTGTTGAGTAGTCGCCAAAAGTTGATCAGTTAAATTTGTAGTAGTCGGATGAATTTTATGTGTAAATGTGTTTGTTGTGTTCGGTTTTGGCTAAAACGAAGTTAGAAAATTGTGATTCGTTATAGGTTGATACATGCTACTGTGTGTTATACTGACAAATCTCTTTTACAGAGGGTATCAAAACATTTACCTAAGAACTGATATGGTTTTTCTGATAGCCCATCACCTAGTAGAGTTTAATGTCAAACAATTTAGCTGAGATTCGGTTAAAAAAACGATTCCTCACTCGAATGTAAACTTAGAACTCTGGTCGGCATGGTGAATATGCCGCAATTTCATTTGATATTTTCTTCTCAATGACACATTTAGAGTTGGCGGCACAGTAAACGGCCAAACCGTGGTACTTGTATTGATGTACTCCAAAATGTTGGCCTCTCAACGACGAAAACGAACAATAGAAATGCTATAGGGAGCATTTTGTCTCGGTTGCAAATTCTGCAGATGCGCTACTGACCTGACGGCAATCAGTGAAACTGTGGCGTGACCAAGTAGGAAAAAAGTCAAATAAAATTGATCCTTAAGAAGAATGTATAGGTGCTGTTCCTATGTGTCGATTCATGAAGTCATTCATTTTTTTTGCTAAGCAACCGAGGGGGAGTGCATAATGGGCCCTGGCGTGTTTATGGAAACCACGTCAGGGCCGGCAATCTACATTGACACGGCATGACCATAAGAATAGTGAAAAAATGCCGATGGCGCGTAGCTCAACTAATTTATTGATGCATTAGCGGTGTTTGTGTCTGTACAGGATAACGAGTGCGTGTATATAGCTTCGCTAAGCACCGATCTTTGAGAATGGAGTTACACGACGCGCATTCACGGAAATCGATTGGATCGTGTTCGCCCACGCCTGCTGCTTGCCACTGCTCTCCTCCTTGGCAAAAGGAATTGGCGAATACTTCCTTCCAAAAGAATTTCTGAAGGATAGGTCGTAACTATGGTGTGAACGTTTTGACGCTTTAGAAATGAATGAACACGAGAGATTAAGCGAGGCGAATAGTCGTCGCCGGATGGTTAATCAAACGCTTGGTGTAATTGTACGTTGGAAGACGTTCGGAATGAGTCGCTGTTGGCGATGCAAGCTTTTCTGCCAGCTGGATATCTGAAAGGTTGATCATTGAAAAGACTGAGCATGATGCCGAATCGTAAGATTGTTGACGTCGTTTGATCTGGTTGAGAGTCGAGAATTAGGCCAAGAATGGGTCGAAAAGAGTTGCCAAGCAAGCGTCGGATGTCGCGGTCGTTAAATCGAGAGATGAGACCGAAATTAAAAAAACGAGGGTTGAGTGATGAGGTTGTTATGTGTTAAGAATCGATGTTCGTCGTCCAAAACTGTGGCAGCGTCTGGAGATTTGGCGTGTGCCGGCGGTGATTAGGACCAAAGACAATACGTGATTGAGTTAGGCGAAAGTTGGAGAACGATTGCAGGCTGATAAAGGCGAGTGTATAGGGTAAAAGCTAGGTTGAGCGATGGGACAGAAACAGAACCAAGAGCCGGGCGATGGAGAAGTATGGCGGTCACACGTTAAGATTCGATGGATGCCAGAATAGCTTGAATAACCATGCCATTTCAGCGTACTAGAAAAGCGTCAATAGCCAGGCCCCAAGAAGGGTCAAAGCCGAGAACGCAGTCGAATGGAATCGACAGACCTTTTCTACTTCTGAAAGGTCAGTCGACGGTGTGCTGCAGTTACGTTTCCTGTCCAAAGTAGCCGAGATGGAAAGTCAAGAGTAGAGTTAGGAACCAGGCGAAATTCGATGGTCAACAGTAGCAACACAGGAGCGAATCGCGAACGGGGATTAGCAAACCGAATAGTCAAACATGAGTTAGATTAATCGAGTCAGAGCGGTTATAGGCCATCAAAGCAAAATGCCGACTTTTAGCCTGTAGAAGTCCAAACGAGTTCAATATTTGGCTCACCAATTTTGTAGCGGGCCCCATTGCGGTGTCAGAAACCACACTAGGGTAGGCAATCTACATTGACACGGCCTGACCAAAAGAAGAGTAAAAAAGGCAAATGGCGCGAAGCTCAACTAATTTTTTGATGCATTAGTGGGGTGTGTGTGTATGTGCAGGATAACAAGTGCGTTTATATAGCTTCGCTAAGCACCGATAATTGAGCTAGCGGAGTTACCTGAAGTGCACTCACGAAAATCGATTGAATCGTGTTCGCTCACGCCTGCTGCTCGACACAAGTATACAATCAGCACATCCAAGGTTGTAGTCCTGCACATGAATCCATTCCAAGCCTTAACGTCTAGTTACTTTGGATGTGATACCTCTCCATCGATTTACGCATTCCGGATCCTTAAGTGATGAGGTTGCAGTAAATAGGGTTGTAGTAAATCGTATTGATACATGTCCATTAACTCGGTCGTCAGACACTCAGACTCGCTGCCCTTATTTTTTTCACGACTTCCTTATCGATCATTGAAGCCCTTGTTCATGTACTCCCACCCTCCGAAGCGTATTCAAAGCTTTGGTCTCTCAGCCATCTGTACTCCCAACATTTCACTCAGACTCTTGTGATCAACGCCTCCAACAACTCAGACACGACTTTGATGCACAGTCGAACGACATTCACGACTTGTTTAAACCATCTGATAAACGATTGTTGAGGTTACCTTGTGGCGTTGGATCAGGGCGCAGACATGTTGGACCACCTGGCGGCAGCCAATCCTGTGTCTCTCTGTGTTCCAATGGCATGCGAGGAAGATAAGCGGCCAACAAGAGAAGGACACGACTGAGGAGCAGTATATAATGAGCGACGTGGCCAGCGTGGTGGACTCGGATCGAAGGCGTCTGACGCGTGGCTCCGGCTTCTGATTGGTCAATAAAGCCTGTTCTGTTGTACCGGTCTTTTTCCTATCAGGGCTCGGGTATTCTACAACCTTCAATCTTCTTGATTTTCCCGGGTATTTTTGTGGCCTTCAACCGTGCATTTCTGATAAGATGCTTGATTAATAGATGGAATTAAAACAAGGGTCGATGACATGGAAGATTGCAGGAAAGTAGGCCATCAATACCGCAATATTCGAAATGTGTTGGTTTTGTCGACGTTTGCAAATATACCTGTGTTTGTGC